TAAATCAAGGCACTATTTCTGTTATCAAATATTCTCTTAAGCTTTAAAATTCCGCAGTAGTAGATTGAAGTGAAAAAGACTGCAAAGTGAAAATCTGTTGAAATAAATTATACAAAAACAATAAATCCAATATAAATATTTATAGCCCAGAAGCATGTTTCTTGGGTCTGTTATATTAACCCTTCATTTTTCGACCCATCTGTCTTTTGTTATTGAAAAAGCAATAGTATGTGTGATACACCACCAGTCTGTTTCATGTTGGACTTTAAGTAGCCTCCCCTGTTTGGGACCGTCTCACCCACCCTGCGGCCAAACAGGTCTTCAAGCAAAGTATCAGTGTGTTGTATGAGATATTTATCCACAGTCAGAGGATTACCTACTGTAGATGGCGGCCAGGTTGTAAAAACAGGCAGGAGTGCCAACACAAGAGTAAAGGAATACACTGCTGTGGAGAGGGTCATCAGCAGATTGTGTTTTAGTCAACTAAAAAAAAAAAATGATCCGTTTCAGTGTACGCTTTCAAACAGCCCATTCAGATGGTGAGCTAAACTGAAAGTGAAACCAGAAAACGATTTAGAAGACAAAGCACGGTAGGGATATAAAGAAATAGACTTTCGATTACACCACACAGATTGTGGCAGAACAAATAGCCAGCAGGTGTAGCATAGCATGTGGTTGTCAGCATTGTGGGACGACCTCAATGGCAACACAACATGCTGTGTTCGTCTCACAACAGCTGCAGGTGATGTCCGAGTCAGATGATAAGCGGCAACGCGCATGCACGCTCATAAAGTAGCGCTGGTGTGTTCAGTCACAGGATTACACGTTGTGTGTTTGGATGGGTGTGTGCGGAGGTGAACAAGTGTGATTGTGGGCAAATATATGTGTTCAATGACAAAGATTATCGTGTGTGTGTGTGCACGCTCCTCCAGCAGGTTTGAGTAAAACATGACAAGGTGAATTGTGCACCGACTGTGTGGGCAAGACGCATCAGAGCAGGCCTTGGTGTTGCCTCTGTTTAGAGTTGAGAGGTGGGATCCATTACTGTCAGATGAACCAACCGAGTGGATTCTGCTTTTGTAGAAGATCAGTGATATCCAGCAAAAACAATCTTAAAACTCCTGGCATCCATACGTGGAAGTTTGTTTTTTTAATTCAGTTCCCATTGGAAACCTAAAATAGTGGCAGTTGGTGTAAAGGAGAACCAATACTTGAGAATATGATATTCAGATGCCCAAGGGCTTTTCAGCATGATCGGACAAGTCATCATTGTCTCCTACATCTGGGAAAGAGAGAGAAGAGTGTTCCCACCCTCTAGTATGTGAGGCCATGAAGCCATGCCCAGTAAATTAAGTGGAAATGTTGGAGAGGGGGAATGTACAGCAAACATGAACACAGACTACGTCAATTTAGAAATTATGAGTCTACCAAGAGTAAACCCGTAGACGCAAGTGCTGGTTCGGCTCAAGGGCAACATATGTCAGTTCAGACTCAAGACATGATGCAAACAAAACACGACATCACAGCCATGTGACATCATAAAGTTATTGATCTTATCACAAGTATAACCATATGCTGCATGTACAGGTTGATTGAACATGCATTTCTTTAGTTAAGCAGTGCTATATCATTAGCACTATTAGCACAAGTGTGGATTTTCCTTACCTTGGACAAGTTCACACATTGTGCAACAGCCTTCCATGCTGGGCTAAGATACTTGGCTTTGGAGCACGTACGCTCAGACGACACGCACAACCATGCTGAGTCAATGCAACCACATAAAAGGAAGTCTGAGAAGAAATAGAAACTGGGTGTTCATCTCTATTTTTGTTCAAATTACGATGTATCTAATAAGAGAGCCTGACTGGAAAAAGCACATGCTAGGGGACTTTACTCAGCATCTCTAAAGGGTTTTTACACTGGCTGGAGGGAAGATTTTTAGAGGAAATGAAACAATTAGGTTGCGATGGGAATGTTTCTAGAATCACTCAGCAAGCCTATTATTTCCCAAAATGCAGCTGTTACATATCCGGCACATTGAATTTTATTGTTGATAAATTCAAATAAACTCTTGTAAAGCCTAAAGAAAGCAAGACGTGTTAAATATCTTAACAGGGATGAAAAGGGGGGGGGGGGGAAATCACTTTTCCAATAAAGAAAGATCTGAAAATTCCATGTTTCGCATGATTTCCTCTTGCCCATCGGCTATAACTGTGTCAAAAGCCCACAGCAGGGGTCTATATTCATAACTTTAAATCCATGCATGAACAGATCCTGCTGCGATGCCGATTGATCCTTTACTGGGTGATGTGTTGGCCTGTACCACTGATACAGCATGAATCTGTCAAAAGTCAAAATCAAACAAAGCTCTCCAAGTTTCAATACACAGCAGTAAGTGGAGACTCAATTATCTGTCAAATTCTGACATTTGTTCATGGATTAAGTAATCCTGGCAGTCGAGGGACCTCAACAATTCAAATCACATGATTAAAATGACTTGCATAACGTTACCTGTGGTATGCTAGTTTACCAGAGATACATACACACTGGGACTCACGCCATACACATGGCTGTACCCGAGTATGCTCAAGACTAGCTTTGGTTTAGCCTTCAGCACCATGCTACACATCGTTTATCTAGCCTCGTTGTCAATGAGCGCAGCATCTTTAACACCAATGATCTCATTTCAACAAAACATGAGGAAGAAGTTAAACTATCTCGCCCACAGGAACTGCAACTTCAGCTCAAAATCTGGCGACATACCTGAACTTAACCAACTCAAATTCCGAAAATAAATGAACAGTTAATAGAGCAACAAATCTGACACGACTGTACTAATGGGTTTATTATAGCACACTGGATAGCACATGTTTTCCTGAGTGCCAAAACCAAGGGAGTTGGCAGAGGAAGTCTGACAATACAAGCACAACAAGAATATGCACTGCGCTTCCTGTCTGATATTAAACGGTAAGCTTAATAAGGAGATGTGGTTATGAAGACAAGTGACCTCGAAACATGAGGATATTTTAAAATGATATTTAGAATGCCTGTGTTCAACTTACAAGTACGGGGAGTTCTTCATACTATAGGATTTTTGTAGCATTCATCCGTCTATGCACCAGTGGCAAGTATCATTGTCCTATTGGGGAGGAAGAGCTTTGTTTGCAATGAAGGTTTTATGAAAGCAGTGGAATTAGCAACAAATATGCTTCACATACAAGAGTGTATATTACTTTGTAACTCACAAGACTGACAGTTAACACAGTGCTACAATAATATAACGCCAACCACAGAGTTGTTCTCTTCAATCCTAACCAATCTCTCCATCAACAATCAGGTAACGCTACTGGAATAAAACTCACATTTCTCATCCCCTATATTCTGGTTGTTGGGTAAACATCAAACCACCACCATGCTAAATCACCCTTCTGATCACAGCTGTGCAGAGATCCCAACTGTGTGAAAAGTTGGCATATAAACACACTATGAAACACAATTAAAATCTTAAAAACTAATCTCATCTCATGAATAACTCTCGCAAATTGTTGAAATGTAATTTAAAACGAATACACGAGGAATAAATAAAGTAGAGTCGTGACACATGCTGTGACAGGTTATTCTAGTTGAGGAGAATAGCTGGTTCCTTCTGTCTTGCTACACCTCACTGTGCTCCACTCCGACCGAAACAGAGTAGAAGTGGCAAATGAGATGGAAGGGAAATAACCGGGATAGTACAGAACTAAACAAGACATTTGGTGGTGTTATTAAAATCTTCTCTGACTAGATACACAATAATTAAGGAAGCCATGTGCTTTGTTGCTATCCTCTGAATTAGTCCTCTCGAGTGTGGCTCCTACGTGCTTTTCATGTGGCCCGCACGTCTACTAGATGGACTGTAGAGAAGACAAGCCCGAACAGGTCATGCTCTAAAGGTAATATACACCTAGCTGGTGGAAGGGAGTCAATGGGAGTGCTTGTGTATTTTTTTTTTTTTTAAACTGTAGCTTCGGCAACATGTGGCTTGTGTGTCTGCCACTAAAAGCCTTACATATATTCCACGTGTGGTGATCTATAAAGATGATTTACTACTTTGGTTGTGAACTGTTCCATCATGGGGAGTGTGCTGAGGCAATCCAGCTGTGCAATGGTGCTTTTTTAATGTTTTACTATTTCTTAATCATTATATTTCATAAACTATGACATCCATTAAATATGCCTTGACGTGCATCTCGCCAAAGCTGTGAAAAGTCACCCAGTTCACCTCAATACTTTTCTATTTCAACAAAAAGCCACATTGATCTCTACCTCTCTTTTCTCCCCCTTTCCCTCCGACTCCTCTCCCTGGGGGTCTGAAGTCCCCTGTGGGCCAATGTGCCATTCAACGCCTAGAAGAGGCTAAGCCGAGGAGAGGAAAGAGGAGAGGAAAGAGGAGAGGAAAGAGGAGAGGAAGGTTAAAGCAGAGGAATGCCTGATTGGGGGGGGGGGTGCCTATAGGAGAGGGGCAGTCAAAACATTACACTGCTCACAGTGAGCTGATTCATACTTCATGTCATACTTAATTTCAGTCTCTCTCTGCACATGCTCTCCGTTTCACATACACACACGTGTACCAATGATGCCAGTTTTGTCAAATGATTGAAGTACCACGTAGACCTATTTAAAAGCCATGATGCTGCATTAAAGGGGCATACAAGACCACCACACTGCCGTCCACAAGTTTAGTTTACTCCTACTTTTCTATTTATTTTGATAACCATGAATCCAAAGTGCCATTTTTCACTGCCATTATCAGCAGTCAAGATACAAGTCTATAAAACACAACACCAAACAAGATATTATGTATATTACGTGCACGTGTAGCTTTTCTTCCTTTCTTTATGGTCACTGCACCCTAAAGGATATCTAATTAACACAACATTGCTGTTGTGTTCAAATATAAATGCGTTACTTCAGCCGCATACCCTTACAACACGGTTAGTGTCGTGTGAGTGGGGTCTTACCTGGCTTGGTGATGCTCTGAAAGTAAAGCACGAGTACGAAGAGCGAGCCAAGGCACGTCCCCAGGAGCAGGCGTCCTCCTCGGGGCATCCCCATCTTGAAGCCCGGCTCTGCTGGCGGAGCCTCGACCCGGTTCATGCGAGATCAGCGAGCGGAGGATGCGAGACTCTCCAAGGAATTAATAGCCTATTCATTAATAGCGAGAAAAAGACAACAGCCCATCCAGGAGGAGAAAAAAAAAACGTTAACTCGACTGTTGAACGACAGAGCAATCAGCCGTTCATTTCAACGTGAACCGCCCGCTCTGGTCTTTTGCCAGTTTTGTTTGGATAACGCTAACGTAATAATGATGAATAATTAAGTACGGTCATCTTAGATAACAATTAATGTTCCGTTGATATGACAAACACTGAAGCAAAATTAGTTTTGCTTCCTCTAAGCTCTAGTTAGTTGTTGGTGGCGGCTAGAGTTTGTCGAAACGACTGTCGACAGCAAACACAAACTTTTTCTTCGCCAAACATGGACGGGGCACCGTGCCATGACGTCACAACCACCTCTCTCTCTCTCTCTCTCTCTCTCGAGCCCTCTCCTCGATTGCTGCATGCTGCCTTCGAGGGCTGTCGTAATATTAACAACAGGCTGAGAAAGTCGCCTTTTCAATGTGATGTACTCTCAGCGGCCAGGTGTTGTCTACAGCAAAGCACAAGCACCACTTTGTGGTTTAAAAAATACAGTCATATTTCAAATGATAAAAAACGGTACCTTGTACTTAGGCTACATTTTGCTGACGGTACTCTCAGAAGCATGGGCTTATGAGGAGTACTTGAAAGCAGCATAACAGTCGTTCACAGAGATTTTAACATTGAATACTGTAAGTACAGCATGTCCTATCTCATGAAACAACCCACAGTTAAATTACACTGGCATACAGGTTTTATGAAATAAATGGAGAAAAACGCAATAAATAAATTGCAGCCACATGAAATTTCCGGAACCCAGACTAATACACATTTACAAAAATAGGCAGAAACTAAACAAACAAAACACACACAATATGGACAACAATTTGAGCTTACCTTACCAACTATTTGTGGTCCATGTGTTTTTTTCAGTCCCATCTGAACTTGCTATTTGCAAACCTAGAAGCTGCAGGGAAAAGCAGTTTGCTTCTGTTGTGTCATTGTTAGAAACTTAATATGGCTGCAGTACTGACCCAGTTCATCTTGATTTGTGCACCATCATGCAGTATGAGATAATAGACCTACTCACAATCACGCAGCACAATCCATCCATTTTTATTTAATTGTACTGAAGATGTTTAATTCCAAAACATTTCACATTATGTAAAATACCAGGAGGCTACATTAGCAATTGCATATCATGTAGTTTATATGTATGCAAGACTGAAAAACTTTTCTTTTCTTTTCTTTAATAGTATTCTTCAACCTTTTTTTTTTACAAAGGTTGAAGGTTACATTCTTCAAGTGAACCATCTGGACATGATCAAAATCCACTCTGCTAGACTTTCTAGACAAATTGCATTTTGCCTCCAGTTGTTTTCATACTAGAATCCCCTGGTGTGATACCCTTCTGAACAAGAGCACATATGCACACCAGGTCTCTGAAGAGTAGTGCAGCATTGAACTCAAGCAAGGCTTTCAATCACATGCCATAACTAAGGGGGGAAGTTTTGACGAATGGTATCACATTACAAATGGAGGATGATGACAAATAGGTAGGTCAAGTTAACCCTTGTGTCGTCTTAGGGGTCAAAAATGACCCGTCACTATGTTTAACAGCATAGGAAACCCCTTTAATGATCTTTTTTCAACTTGAAATTCAATGACTTTTCCTAGAATGACCCCAACATAAAAAAAAGTTAAACATTGCCTTTGTTCATATTTCCATAAAAGCTGTACACCAAGAGTGTACACATCTTGTCTTAGGGGTCATTTTTGACCCGGTAGTTATAAAATCATTTTCATACTACAGAAACCACAACACACACACACACATACACACACACACACACACACACACACACATTCATACACACACACACACACGCACACAAGAAATTGAGATTACATGTGCTACTGATTGAACTCAGGGAAAACAAAAACTTTCTCGCGAATATGCAGCATGTCCCCTCCACGACCCCACACCTGGCTGAAGTTCACAGACATAATACAAACAAGATCAGAGAGAATAAACATTTCCTGAAAGCATTGTTTACTAATGGGGAATGCAGTCAGAGGCTATAGAGGTGCTGCAGATGACAGCACCCCCAGACAACTGGAAATGGATGGATGAGATTGACCTGCTCGGGCTGCTATTCTTAGCAGGTGTGTATAGGTCCCGAGGCGAGGCTGCATCTAGTCTTTGGAATGCAGAGAGTGGAAGGGCGATTTTCCGTGCAATGATGTCACTGAAAGTCTTTCATATTTTATCAAAAATGATACGATTTGATAATCGTGAGTCAAGACCTGCAAGGCGTGTGACAGACAAACTTGCGGCCATAAGAGAGGTCTGGGAGAAGTGGATTCCACTGATTAAACACAGTCTTTCTGCAGTGTGAAGAGGAAAAACTTAGATATTCACAAAGTTTGTGATGAATGACAGGTTGTTTCTTCATGCAAAATAGATTTGGGATATAAAATGCAATCAAGCTGTTTTATTTTAGGGGTTTAGTGAAGGCGGGTAATTTTTGACCCTTAGGACAAGTAGTGTATACAGAAAGTGAAGACACCACAAGGGTTGGGACAACTGAAAAGACAGATTTGGCCTGACGAATACAATGACATTAAATCAGTCAGAGAGTTGGATATTGTGTTGAGATTGTCTTAGTTGCTTATCCTTACAAAATCGACTGTAACAGTTTGTAAAGTTGATTGCTTTCACTTTCACACATTTAAATATTGAACATGTAAACTATTAAATTCAAGTTTGGCAATCAATTGTCGATTAATATGCATGTCTTTTAAGTGTATGTATTTGTTATGGTTATATATCGATGGAAAAAGAGGCATTTAGACCAAGATACCCACAGAGCGATTATATAAGATGGAAATATAACATTTCAAAAATATAAACGGCGTCAGCTTGTCGCCACAGAAGAAAATGAATTTTGGAACTTCCCTGTTGAGCTTTCATCAATGACATATTGGAGAGGACAGGATTGGACCTGATCAAAGTCTAAACGCGTGGCTACCATGTGATTCGCAGGTCGTTACTGTGGCCTTGTCTGGTCTGGGTGTTGTCTGTGTTTTTGTCTTATAACTCTAATCCTTTCACAATTTCACAATAATTGTAACATATTTAGTGGCCTAAAAATATCTTCTTCAGCATTCGGTTGTACTAAGCTCCACCCTCTTGTGTCACTTCTGGTTGCAACAAGATGGCTACAAATAACATGCTGAACTGGAGGCTTCCAAACCATAGCCCACAAACCAATGGGTGACATCACAGTGACTATGTCCACTGCTCATATACCGTCTATGGTTGAGAGTTGTGTGGTAAAAGCTAACATTGGCCCAAACAACCACATCTTTGAAGTGTCTTCAAGAAGGAGGCATTGCATGTTGTAGGTCATGATGGGTATGTGGGTATTTACAGCATTTGTTGATATGGAAGCATGAGTACAGTGTACCTACTCAATGGGTTAGTTTCTGCCATGTCTTTAGACCAGGGGTCACCAACCTTTTTACTGAGCAGTACGAAGGGCTACTTGTTTGATACAAACTTCCTGAATAACAAAGTTGCACAGATCACCTTTTAATAATAATAATATATGTGAAGAGACTGATCACATGTCAATGTTAATTATTCCTCACAATAATTATTAACAATGATTGTGTATTTTGTTCAAAATCACACCTGTTATATTTTTGTAAAAATTATCACTTCTAAATTTTTTTAGGAAATCATTAACTGTCATATCTTCACATCTTGGTTTGTACTAACCACTACCTTCGTAACATTTTTGAACAAATCATGAACTCTGTCCCATGTTTATACAAAAATATGTTTGTTATGATAATCATAGAAAGTTTTTATCTAATGTACCACTAAAGTCAGACATATTACAATGACATAGCAGTTTTTCCTTAGAGAAATAGTTAATCATTGAGTTTTGGACAGGGTGCCTTGTGAGTTTTATGATTCTCACCCGGGGATGAAAGATGAATGTCCTAGCATAAACCAGATAAAGAGCAGATCCCTCTTTATTAGTTAATCAATTAGCAATGAACTTGATGTCTTGTTTGCTTTTGCTCTTACAGAAGAGCTAAACAGCTGATGATCCTGATTTCATGTTTGTCATGTCCTCCCTGATATCAGACCTTTGGTCGAACAAAACAGCCTGTGTAGAGAAACTTGTTCTCCTCTGTTTATGATTTACCCAGGAGGAGGGGGGTCTTGCAGACATAAAAAGATGAGACATCTGAGATTTCTTTGACAGCCTCCCTACTGTACACTGAAATATGTGCTAGTGGAGATGCGCTCCTATTTGCAAATATTAATGAACGAACAACGTTGATTCTATCAAGACTCTGTTCATTGACATAGATTGAAAAACGAACTCTTCTCCCAATTAATAATTGAAATTTTCCATAACACCAGGTGCCCGCGGGCACCGTGTTGGCTACCTCTGCACTAAAGCATACCCTGCTTTACCACTTGTATTACTCTAAATGGGACTATAATTTAAAAAATAAATAACATGAAGTTTTTTAAGTTTTAAGTTTATTGTCATATACACATATATGAAATTTGTCCTCTACATTTAACCCATCCCTAGCTTATTGGGAGCAGTGGGCTGCTGAGAAGCAGTTCAGTGTCTTGCTCAGGGACACTTTGGTATAGGACACGTAGCAGCCAAGGATCAAACCGCCAAACCTTGCGGTTGCCGGACGACCCTCTCTACCCAGTGAGCCACGGCCGGCCCAAAGAAGACTTGGAACTAGCAAATGGGACCATAAACTGATGTTTACAATGTTTACTGAGGCAATAAATTAAGCGGAGTCATTTTCTCATAGACTTCTATACAATCACACTTCTTTTTGCAACCAGAGGAGTCGCCCCCTGATGGTCATTAGAATTAGAATGCAAGTTCAAGGCACTTCAGTATTGGCTTCAGTTTTCAGATCCGGAGGTTGCCGCCTGGTTTGCACTTTTGGTTGTGAATGACGTAAATGACTCATATACAAATTAAAGGGATATTTTTTATATTCTGATTTATGGGCTTTCTCTCTGAGAGTTAGATAATTGATATGGAGCCAGACCAGGGAGTTGATTTGCTTCGCTTACCATAAAAGGGTAAAGAGCTAGCTTGGTTCTGCCTAAAGGTAAAAAACTACAACTTTTTGGTTTTTCATTTGTCTAACAGACAAGTAAAGCCTTTATTGTTTGTATGCTAAGATAATCCAATCAACTCGATGGCCAATATAATAAACATTTACATATCTACCAGACTGATACAGACTAGATTGTTTGAGAGTGAAAAAGTTGAGTAGTTTATTAATGTTCTCCACTGTCC